GGCCATTGTGGACTCTGTTTTGGTCAGCTGTTTTCACTGAAGCACCAGCAGCCATCCCCGACATAATTGGTGTGGAGAGAGCACGTAACGACTATGCATTTATAATGAGGAGATTTTCAGTCCTCATAAACAGGAGGCAGGAGAGTGGAGATATGAGGAGGAGGGAGGGAGGGTGGGAGGTGGAATGAAGCCCAAAAAGATGATGTAAGGTTTTATATTATATATACGTGTATACTGTATATACTGAAGTGTGTCTTTCACAGAGTTGGCAGAGTGGTGGCTCTGCAGTGTGTGTGTGTGTTTGACTGTGAAAGCGGGTGTGGCATTAGCTGTTTGCATGAAGGAGTGGGAGTCATCGTTCTCTTGAGGCTTATGCGTTACACTGCCGTGTTAATGCATTCATGCATGTCTGTGCTATGGCATCAGTTTAATGGGACCAGAACATACGTGTGTGTGTGTGTGTGTGTGTGTGTGTGTGTGACAGGAGAAGAGAGAGGGAACTGGAGAGGGGTTACGAGATAAGAAAGGAGAGACATGAAGAACACCACTGAACAAAGACATCAAGCATTTTTTTGAGGATAACACCAAAAAAGCAGCAGTGAGCCTATTCAACAGCCTGTGCTGTGTGTGACAGCTTCTTGGCTCCTCCTTTTGATCGAAGGAGAGTTTCAGAGAGTGTGGACTCGAAACTGAGAGAAATAAGGACAAGTCAGATAAAAAGTGACAGAGACACGTAGAGAACACCAATTTTGTCCCTTCAATAGACGCAAGGGGGAAATAGCATGTTTCCTCTTGTCTATCACTGACTCAAGAACCATTAGCCTAATTATATGGAGGAACTGAGACTGAAGAGACCTCGGGTTTGTGTATGTGTGTGTGTGTTTCAGAGAGAAGGACAGACAGATTAAGACACAGTGTATTAGTTTGGAATTAGCATGGACAGAAAGATGGAGAGATTTAATTAGATGTCTTTTTCCCCCCGTAAAATTAATACAAAGCCTGCCATTTAATAAGAGATGCTGTCTGTGTGTTGTACTTGTATCATTCACATTAGGAGGACTCAGGAGGTGATTAGCTTAGTTTAGCATACAGACTGGAAGCAGGATGAGACAGCAAGCCTGGCTCTGTCCAAAATGGACAATTGCCCAACTGCAAGAGTAATGGATAGTTGGTGGATTATACTCAGTGCCAGCATTTTCAATCTGTACAGGGCAACAACTGCATGAATATAAGGTTATGGGAACATCACTGTTATGGCAAATAAGGTATGGTTGAGGTACAGTTAACGTTAACTTAAACACTCCGTCACGGTTTGAGCAAGACTGTGGGCACAGTTAATAAAAAGGTAAACATTGATAGCAGGTCCAATCTCCTGCACAGAAATCTGACATGCTACAACCATGTATCTTTACTTTAGCCCCCTTACCACCAGTACGGTACAGTTCAGTTCGGTACGCTTTTTTTCCATTTCCACTGTGAAAAGTTGTGGATGGTACCAATGAAACCGTTCCATACTGTCCCCATATTTGGTCACCCCTCTGTTGGGGTACCTAGCACACAGCTCTGGTACTAAAAGGTGGAGCTGTGAACACTGCAGGCTGTTGATTGGTCAATAGAGGACGGTCACTCTGCTCAGGGCTGAGTTGTGTCTGGTTTTGAGGCTCATGTAACCACTGTTGGTAGACTTTAACTATAAAATGAAAGGAGGTTTTGTTGCCTCTTGCAGCAGCTGGAGTCTGAGAAAAAAGTAACTTAATTCACTGGGCTGACTGCCGGTGACTTTTAAGGTGGAATGTTTACTTGTAATGTTACTGCATTACTGTGCATGAGCTGACGACATGAATCCATCAGCACACCTTAAATTTCACTGTGACAACTTTGACCATAGTTTTTATATGACATACACTTTTAGTAATGAGTGGATCTTCAAGCGTTTATATACAATAATTTTGACCGAGTTATGTGAACGGCATATCTTCTAATCCTCACTAGGAGGGGAAAAAAAGCGTGGCAGAAAATTGTTCCTGTGGGCTACAGCAACACTAAACCTCTGAGCTTGCCTTACAAGGACTAACCGCACAAACTTGCTATTTTTAAATATCCCATCGAGAGACTCTCACTGCAGCCTGTTTTAGTTTGTTCAGTCTTGTTCTGTGGACAATAAACGAGATGCAGTCTTCCCTCACCGGTCGCTGATGAGGAAATACAGTGAGCGCAGGACAAGGCAGTCAGTGACAACAACCCCGCCCACATTTAAGGGTACTGTTTGCAGTGGAAATGCTAGGGTCTAGGTACCATGTCTGAAGGGTTACTTTTGGTTCCAAAGGCACCATACTGAAAGTGTTTGGTGGAAACACTTTTCTATCCAACCCTGTCTCCTAGAAATTATGTTTTTTATTACTAGATTGTATTCATAATTACGTTTTGGTGACAACATCATCGTTGCCTGGAATATACTACGGGACAACATTATTTTAAGTTAATCAAACACTACATGTACGGACCACGCTGGATTTTCAGAGAGGAGATTTGTACGTATACATGCATACACCTTTTCTCACACATAAAATGGTATTTATAAAGGAAGACTGTGTGGTGAAAATGTGCAGACCTCACATAGATTTCCAGATTGTCTCCCAGTGTCACTGATTGTGTTACTATTTTTGCAGCCAAACAAGTGTGGGACACTCTGGCTCCATATGCAGTTCTTTTATTTTGATGACGACATTTTGGCCTTTCAGCAATCGACAATCAGTTGTTGATTGTTGATCTCAAAAAGGGCCCAAAGGCCGGAACATCGTCATCAAAATAAGAACTGTATATGGAGCCAGAGTCTGTAACACTTGTTTTCTATAATCAAGTCTACTGCCAGTCATCAGCACTTCATAATAATTCTTGGTGTTCATTAGTTTTATATTTAATTATTTAGCAGGCTCCACCGTTATCTGTAAAATGTTAATCAAAGGTGCTTTTATACTCTAAATTTTGAATTACTTATGAGTGATGATTTTTTTTTTAAATATATACATCCACATCCCTGTGTGTTATCATTTGTTATCCTGAATTGTGAAGCACTTTGTAAAGAAAGTTTAATGTGAGCACGATGAATGAATCAATAATCATTCAGACATTTAATGACAATAATGATCAAGATTTTACCAGCGATGACAGTCTGCATAAATGCGGTGAATTAGTGGTGCTGTCTTTACTGTACTTCTCACTGACAGGTCTAATGAATGGTGGAGGGGTACAAGTCCTGATAAGCAAATGGATGGAGCCAACGGTGGGTTTGGATATGAGGCTTGTGCCCGTGCACCCAGCACCTCAATGACTGAAATTTATAAAACAGAATCAGGCGTACTCACAGCTTTATAAATCTAATGAAAATACTGTGGATGCATATTTCTGCATTTGTGCGTAGACACAGTTTTAGTCGTGAATCTACATAGAAAAGGTTATGGAAAGATCTGATTTTGGTTAAATGTTAATAATAATGGTAACAATGTTAAAGTAATGCTGTGGTAGCTACAAGTGGATACTGCATTGCAAGACTGCCTATTTGGGTGGAAAACAAATGAATTACGTTGTCAGTGAACATTTTGCTGATGTGTTCAGCATCAACATTTATGTGGACTTATGAACGTTGTATTTAAATGTTATTTGAAGGAGACAGAGCTGCTCTGCATTGCTACCTATAGGGGGCACACTACTTCCTGCAGTGACACTGAACATTGCAACAAGCATGGAGCCCACAGGGTAACTGACTGCACAATATTATCGTATTTTGTGAAAAATGAAAGAGTGATTCCAGAGAGAAGCAGACAGAGGTGTCTACAGTCTGTGTTTGAAGGATATATCCAGGATGTCAAACTGACTCAGCAGCAACAACAGGTTAAAAAGACAAAGATAGTTAGAAGCTAAAGCCGAACTATAGGCTACAGATCACAGTGTCAAAGTGAACCACCACATCACTGCTGATCGCCACAGAAGACAATGAATATAAAGGGAAACTTTGCTGATATTGAACCAGCTGTGTGGCATCTCAGTGTGTGCAGATGAACAGTGTTTGGCCTGGGTGCCGCTGCCAGTGCCCAGACCTCTGCTGCCGGACAGGCAGGGATCTCCAGGGGAAGTCAAACAACTTTCATCTGTGCACAATGTGATGACACAGAGCTGGTTGAATATGAGCAGAGTTTACCTGCTTCCCTTCACTGGTTCCTGTACAGCAGGGTCGGTCTTTTTTTCACTGTTATAATCATTAAAAAGAAAAAGCAGCATGTCTGGTTTGAGCCGGCCCGATGCTTTGTTAGGATTGGTCAGTGTGCGTCTGGGAGCGGGACTTAGCGAAGGGTTTGGGTTTGTCCAATATAGACCTAATTCCAGGGAATACTGGACTGAACTGGGACTATTTCTTCATGAACATCAGTTTATTCATCCACTCAGCACCTTTTTTTTTGCAGATTTTGGTGTCAACACAAAATGGCACCTAAACTGGCAGTTATTTGTGACACAAAGAGTTCAAGAAGCAGGGCACAGTCACTCCCCCTGGCTATTATTTTCCAGGTAATAAATCTAGCTCATAACTCCCCGTAAAATTGGGGGATATGGCTGATTTATGTTTTTTTAAAATATTTCTTTCAGCAAATACGGAGGTTTAACTCTTCATGTAACCCTGGCAGAATGGTAAGAGGAGGAAAACCTGACTTGGGAGTGTTAACACATTATTTAAGGATGGTTTCCTCCATTGTTAGCATTTTAGTTACACAATTTAATAACATGATTAGCTGCTGTTATTGTTACAAATATCTGTATGTAAGAAATTTAGAAAAACGTATATCATCAGCCTCATCCCTAAAGGTTAGTTTAAGTCGTCAAGGAAAGGATGCAACGGCTGTGATGTCCTCCCAAGTGACAAAAAACAAGTGTGTGTGTGTGTGTGTGTGTGTGTGTAATGGTGGGGGGATGCAGGAGGGAGTGAGGCAAAACAGTCACATGCACAACAGACTGTCAAGTAAGAACTCCCCGCTGCCTCTGTCTCTCCTTCTCTCTCTTCCTCTTGACTCCTTCCATCCTCCTCCTCCTCTTCCTCCTCCAGCATGCCTGTCCTCTCCCACCCCCCTCCTGCTCCTCGTTTTATATCAACTTGAACTATTCATGCATTTAATTTCTAATGATACATGTAGAGCTCACTCTCTCCCTCCCTCTCTGTCTTTGTCTCCCCCCCCCCCCCCCCCCCCCCCCCCCCCCCCCCCCCCCCCCCCCCCCCCCCCCCCTCCTCCTCCTCCTCCTCCTCCTCCTCTTTCCTCTCTCCAGTTCCTGCTCCTCTCTTCGCCACCTGTTAGTTAGTCTCCCTCTCCTCTCCGCGCTGGAATCCCCTCTTTTTTTATGAGGAGTTTCACACTCGCGCTATCAGTGAGGTAAGTCCACATTTTTTATTCTTTTATTTTGAAATGCAGGCTGGTTGAATCTGCTGCAAAGTGATTGTGATTTTTTTTCCAATTTTTTTATTTTTCCGCATGAAATACACCTTTATGTTTTACGCTATGAAAAAATGTTTTCTGTCCTCCTCCCTCGCCCTCCATCACTATCATTCTATCCTCACTTTACTCGTCTGTTTGGTTCGTGTCTGTTTTTTCTTCTGCATCAGAGAATAAAAGCAGATGCAGTAGAGACTAGACAGAGATGGACACATTTATTCTGCATCTTCTTCACACGGCAGACAGGTGCAACACGTGGCAGACTGTTCTTGTACCTTTTTACTTGCTCCTTTACTTTTCTTTCACACCTTCTAACGCACACTGTCACATGACACACACACACCATCACTCACACACTCGGTGAAGTTTACTCATCCCTGGCTGCCTGAAAATAACCAGGGCTCTAATTGACAAGCACCCACTGTCACTGTGGTTAGCAAAAAACGATGTGCCGACTGTCGAGCTCTAATGAGTAGCTACAGTGTGCGGCACTGTACTATACCATCTGCCTGTCAGCCAGCAGCTTGTTATTTAAAGGTGAACGGAGCCCGCTGCAGGGGCCCCATTGTATGTAGGACACAAGAGAAGAAGAAACCAGCCAAGAGAGAGCAGGCGAGAGACAGAGAGGGAGAAGAGAGATCCTAACACACCTACAGGTGGAATAATGGTGTCTGAGAAAGTGAGATAATGGCAGAGATGGAGAGGGCAGAAGAAGAAAGGAGATGGAATTTAAAGGTGGAGATGAAAAGGTAGAGAATGGGGGGTTGAGAGAGGGAGCGCCCATGCCTGTGATATGACTCTAATTTAAAGTGAAGGAGCTAAAAGAGGAGGGGGGTGGTCGCATGCTGCACAAAGATATTCCTGACTCCCAGCTTCATTCCTCCCTCTCAAAACCTATTTAACATCAGGAATATATTTGCAGCGGGGCCACGCATGAAATACCATATGTGGTTGCATAACTGGCAGCCACGGGGCTACTGTATGTACGGCTGGCAAGTTGTGCCACGATTAAATTATAGCTTATAGGAATTATGTAAAGTAGTTAAAGCGTGTGGTCCGAGGGTAAGAGTCGTGTGTGTAAACAAGCTTTAGTGCGTCAAGAAGAAAAAAATAAAAAAAAAATCTGTGAAGTGTGAGGTAAAATCTCTACCTTGTTATTTTGAGTGTGAGCAGCAACAAGATGATGATGAAAAGAGAAGATGAGAGAGAGGTTCCAGCTGGCAGCATGAGAGCGATCAATCATGAGCTCCCCATGAGCTTCTGCTTCCCCGCGAGGGGAGAGCCACCAGGCCTCCGGGCTGTACGACTGCTGGTGGTGGTGGTGGTGGTCGGGCAGCTTCAGCTTACAGCCACATCTGCCAGGACTAGGAGGCGACTGACTGCGCACATTATATCAACAGACAGTCGCTCACAAGCCTGCAACAGCTGCATAGTGTGTGTGTGTGTGTGTGTGTGTGTGTGTGTGTGCAGAGAGAGAGGAATTAATGATCTGACGGAAGTGTATCTGCATTTATGTTTGATGGCATTCCTTTGTGAATGCATTTGTGTGTGCTTTGAGGGATTATATGCAACTCAGAAGAGCCGCTGATCATTATTATCCACTCATCCAAGTTAATTAATCTCTTAATCAATCCTGGCTGTAATCACCCTCATCACTGGGAGTTTCATTACCTTGTTTTCACCTTCTCATTCTTCTTAATGTCGGGCAATCTTCCCTTTAATTTAAGATTATTTTGCTGTTGTTTTATTGTTGTGCCAGGCTGAAATGATTCACTGTAGCTGTGATGAGCACCGGTTTGTCTCCATATTTGTAAGAACTGTGGTTGTAATGAGAATCACAGAGTCTCGTCCCAAAGTGCAGGAGCCTGACGTTATCTCCGCGCCACTTAATTGAGCAGCGATGAACTCTGACCGCTTGTTCTGCACTTCAGAAGTCATCAATTTTCTCACTGTGGTCCTCAGTGGCACCAAAATGGCTGCTGCTGATTTAAAAAAAAAAAAGGCAGGAGGTCCATCATGTTCCGCTCCGGAGCCAGTGGTGTGTCAAAATCCCCCTCAGTCAATCGAGTGGAGGAAGTTTTCAGGCTGGCACACGCTGCGGTGCGGGTTCAGAAGTTTGTTTCATCTCCAGCCAAGGAAAAGCCGGATCGCCTGCTGTTGTGCTCACAGCAGGGAGACTGGACCGTACATGACAAATGACCCTCGCTGCCAGTAAATCTGCTGAAGGTCAACAGTCAGAGGCAACAATTTCATTGACACTCTCCGCCAGGACGTCATTGGTCATATTAACTTTATGCTGCAGGAAGTGGCGACTGAAGGGTCTGAAATTAATCTGTTTACTGGTCTTGATCCCACAAACAGAAGGAAGGGGACAAAGAGGAATAAATACAGCTCTGATGACCATTTCGACAAGCAGATGAACTACACTGAACAAAAATATTAATGACATTTGTTTTTGCTCCCGTTTGTCACAAGTTTCTCTCAAATGTTGGTCACAAAAATCTGTTAGTGAGCACTTCTTTTCCAAGATAATCCATCCACCTGAGGCATATGAAGATGCTGATTAAACAGCACGATTGCGACACAGGTGTGCCTTGGGATGCTCACAATAAAAGGCCACTCTGCAGTTTTATCACATCACAAAGCCACAGATGTCGTACATTTCAAGGGATTGTGCCGTTGGCATGCTGACTGCATGAGTGTCCACCAGAGCTGTTGCCTTTAAACTGAGAGTTTGTGTCACTACCATCCGCCATCTCCAATGTATTTTCCGAGAATTTGGCAGTATGTTCAACCAGCTTGATAACCACATGTTACAACCGGCTCTCAAGCCGCAACAAAAAGAGGGAGATGCGCACGCACTGATCAAAGTTTAACAAAAGTATTTATTAAATAAAGGCTGAAGAAGGAATGGGGTGTGACTATCAGTATCAGTAGTGTGTGTAAGGGTGTGAGTGCTATGAACAATGTATGGTGTGTGTTGTATGTGCGACAACATAAGCTAACAAAGGCAAAAAGGGGAACAAAGGTCTGCTGTGATAGAAAGTCAGAGAGAGGGACTGGCACCCGGGTAGGTGGGTCCATTTATCCTGCAGGTGCACCAGCCAGGTGCACCTGGTTGGCAATCAGGCACCAATTAGTCCTGCAACAGAGAGCACAACCAGTACACAGGAAACAGGGCCACAAGGCCACAAGGCCGTAACACCACACACCTTCACATACAGCTTCCTCACCTGCAGGACCAGCCAAATGAACATCTGATGCCACAACTGGATTACACATCTGAAGAATTTCTGCACAAACCATCAGAAACCATCTCAGGGAAACTCATCTGCATGATCTGCATCTGCAGTTCATACACTGCCTGAATACTCATCAGACATGTCACGCACTGAGCATGTTTGGGATGCTCTGGATGGGTGTGCATGACAGCGTGCTCTAATGCCTGCCAATATCCTGCAGCTTCACACAGCCATTGATGGGGACCGGACCAACATCCCGCAGGCCACAATCAACAACCTGATCAGCTCGGTGTGAAGGAGATGTGTCGCACTGCATGAGACAGATGGCGTCACACCAAGATACTGTCTGGTATCTGTAGTGCAAGTCATATTAAATCCTAATAAATTAAATTTTTCAAGATGAAACCGCACATTTTAGTGTGGCCTTATTATTATGACCATCCCATGGCACGCCACCTCGGTGATCTTCAGAAGTCAAACATGTCAGGTGGATGGATTAGAACAGCAGTCCTCACAGACACACAGTTTAACAAGATTTTAACCAAAATTTGGGAGGGAGAAGCCTTTTTGAGCATAGACAAAGCTAAGATCTTTCATTTAAAATTGTATAAATTGGGAGGAAAAAAAACAAGTGTTCCATTTAAACTTTTGTTCCGTGTAACTTTTTTGAGAGGATCGATACCTCTCTTATATCTCTGCTGTAAATATGAAGCTAGAGCCAGCAGCAGGCAGTGTTACATTACTCGTTACTTTTTTGAAAATATTATAATATTAGTATATACAATAGCAGGTAGAGAACACCTAACTGAATTGGTCATTTCTTTCTCCAGAGATATCAGACTTCGCATGTGTGTCTCTGTGTGAATTTCAGGGTAATCGCCGTGAAGCATAGCCAAATCTAGACAGCTTTCAAATTATTATTTTTGTTGCCTTTGACCGATTTTTTCTCAAGGATCTGTCTGATAGAAGGAGAGTCAATCATGGACAAAGGACACATTTCATCCACACATATCCAGCCACAAGCCTCTTGAGTTTGTTCTCACTTGTCGCCTGCAGCTGTCCACAATTCAAATCCACTTTTGGTTGTTTAGCCACTGCGGGGCTACAGCCATCCTCCGCAGCGCTGAGGGCTCACCTTTGGTGGGGTGTGTTTCCAAGAGTTTCACGTTGTTGTTGTGTTGTTGTAGGAGGTGTTTCAGGAGGTTTGAGGCTGTGTTTTCACAGTGGAAAGAGTCTTAGCACCACTACCTGGAACAACAATGCTCTTGTCATCATCAAAGTAACAGGAACATTTCCAAGTAAGCTTTTTGGTCTTTCAAGCCTGCTGCTTTGTGACGTGCATGCGCGACTGTAATGAAAATGAATCCGGAGACATGATTGATTGTTGGATTTCAAATCATTAGGTGCGGTGACAACAGAAGTAAGGTCCATTCATTCATTACATCCCGGACAGGTTGCCAGACTATCACAGGGCTGACACATAGAGACAGACAACAATTCACACTCACATTCACACCTATGAGAAATTCAGAGTCACCAATTAACCTGCATGTCTGTGGACTGTGGGAGGAAGCCAAGTACCCGGAGAAAACCCATGCTGACACAGAGAGAACATGCAAACTCCCTCACCCCATGTTTTTGAAGCAGGACATTCTTGCTGTGAGGCAACAATGCTAATCAATGCCAAAAAAAGGTTGTGATAAGTATGTTTTCTTGGAGTAACTGTTACATTATTACTGAAATTTTATTGGTAATTTATTACACTACTCCTTAGCAGGTAAAGTACTATTACTGTTATGCATTACTTGTGTCGAGTCACTTGTGATGTGTTACTGCCTGACACTGGGAGCAGGTTAGTTCAGCATAAAAAATGGAAAAAAGGAAAGGCTCTGGACAAGGGAAGCAAAATCCACCTACCAATACTTCTACATTTTGCTAATTAACATGTTATGCTTCGTTGGTATAATCTTTACAGAGTGTAAATATGACATGGGACTATTTCTCAGCACAGTAACTGTTAATTAGTGGTTATTAATTAGCTGTCTGTCCCTATAGATTTTTAATTGGTATCATCACTCTCTGCAGGAGAGCGACTAAGGGAATATTGAACTGCTCCTTTAATATGGAGGCAGGTTTGAGATCATCCTTCTGTTCCCTCCGTCTGTCGGTGAGGATTATTTTACGTCACTAGCATCAAGTCAATATGACCACTATTCCTAAATATTTCTTTAAACGTTGCTCTCTGAGCCCGGGTATTTTTATCATTTTGACATTTCTAAACACAGCAGTCAAATTACAGACAACACAGCGGCAGCGCAAATACTCACAGTGCAAATATTCACTTCTCAGTTTCAATCGATTAATGCAGAGAGAGCAGAAGGTAGTCTGGGGGGGGGTTTGTTCAGTATTGAGGACAGAACGCCCCCTCAAGGCATGCTGTCTTTAGAAAACAAAAGCTGTGAGAGATTTGTAATCCACCCCCCTCTTTTTTATTTCGGGAAGAGAACAGCAGACACATCAGCCTCGTGGTCAACTCCACTCCCAGCTACCACAACTTTATATAATAATAACCGGGACTCTTCCCTCCATCCGAGCACTCTGAAGAGTGTTCCAGCCAGTAAAGACCTCATCCCGTAATTACCTGCCTGTCTGTGGAGGATTGTTAAGCACTTCAGATAACATGTGCCTCTGCGGCTCACACACTCACACACACGCGTACTGCCATTTCTTAGAGGATGATTAGGATTCGGGGGAGACCCCTATTGTCCGTTATCCTTTATTCTCGCTGATAGGCTTGAGATTATTCAGATGCATTCAATTGAAATGCAAATTTGTGCACATCCTCTGCTGTATTTTGTCATCTTATGAGTAATGTCTTTCTTTTAAAGGAGTTCTAATTATGTTGAAAGAGGTTTCAGTGCGAGAGCTGTTTGAGATAAACGCTTCCTATCACAAGTTCTCCTTGACTGTATGGAAAATGAGAAACTCCTTTTAGGTGTGATGATATCTTAGTGATGGCCAGACACAAGATCCTATTTATCACCAGCCATCTCACTTAGCTCACCTTGTTTTGCTTGGAGGTGAAATTGAGAACAACAGCTCATATCTGTGGATCAATGTCTTCACTCCGTCTTCAGCTGAATGCATTCTGAAATTCCAATTACTGTATCGCCTGTCAAGTTATGTGATTTTTCTCTCCCTCCATCGATCTCTGTCTCTTCCCCTGCAGCCCTATGACTGTCCGTAAAGGAAAACGTTTAGCCATCTCCATCCAGGAGCACATGGCCATCGACGTATGCCCGGGCCCAATCCGCCCCATCCGCCAAATCTCTGCCTACTTCCCTCGCCTGTCACCCACTTCCTCCTTCTCCGAGCCGCTCTCGCCAAATCAGGTGGCAGCTCCCACCGCGCTCAGCCCTGGCAGTGCGGGCCAAGGTGGAGGGGCCACCGGGGGAGGAGGGAGCAGCAGTCTGCTGTCACCAGGAGTGGCGGGCGGAGGGGGCTCATTGTCAGCCATGAGCAGCATGGACACCTCCATCGAGATCGACAGCTGTGACAGCGATGATAACAGTGAGTCACCTGAAAGTAACGACCTGGTTTCACTGAAGCTGCTCGAGCCCAAGAATAGAAATGAACCCAACACAGATGTGGGTTTGGGACAAAAGGCCTGGAATGATTCAAAGAAATCAAAGTTGATGGATTAACCATCGAAATTCTTTGCAATCTTTGAAACATGGGTCTTTGACTTCACACAGACGCAAAACAAAGGCAGGCTTCTCATTTATATTCTACCAGCTGATAGCCAGCTAACGTAAGATAATGCTTGTGCTAAAATTTAAAGGGATAGTTTGGATCTTTCAAAGCGAGGCTGTATGAGGTACTTATCCATAGCCAGTGTATTACATACAGTAGATGTCAGTTAGCACTCTTCCAGTATGGAGAAGCAGACATGGAGGCTAAACAATGTACTGCTGTGGACGGGAACAGCAGCAAAACATATCCTAGCTACGTTCGGTGAAGGTTCTCAGTCATCCAGGTCATGGTAATCTTAAGTGCTATATCGTAGGCAACTGGACTTACTTGAGTTTCTTGAAGACGTTTCGCCTCTCATCTCTCATCCAAGAAGCCTCTTCTTCAGAACTACAGAAGCCTCTTGGATGAGAGCCAAAATGTCTTCAAGAAACTTGCAAGTCAAATTGCAAATGATATAGCACATTAAAACATCAATATCAGTTTACATGTATGCTTTATTTAGAAAATTTAACTGCTTTACCTTGAGGTCAGAAAGCAATTTCAGACAGGGAAATGAAGCTGTTATACTGCTCTCTTCAAAACCTGACTCAATTGAGAAAAGGCTTCAGAATCTTACAGGACGCAAACACCGCTCTCTCGGGTGAAAGTCGGTGTTTGTTGGACCCAACCAAAACCCCTTCCACCCGCCCCACTCGGCTTTTCGGCGCCTTAAGTTTGGTCCATGGCCCGCTGCATTTCCCCATGGCACTGCCGAGCGGCATTAAAGTATAACGGCAACTGGCTGCGTATCTTCCCAATGTTAAAGGACGCCTTTTTCTTTGGTTTCTGACGCCGCAAGTCACTGCGTAAGCGCCAGATTTCAACGACTTCACAGTGAGACTGTGCTGTTTGATGAAAGCATAGATTGGAAACTGAAACTGGTAATAATTTCTCTGTCTGACAGAAGGAAAAAGCAGTAAAAAATACTTTTGATATAGCATACACTTAAACTGTTATAAATTCTTTTAGGTGGGACTTTTTTTTTTAGGTGGCTAAAATACATTTTGCTGCTGCCGCCTCCGTCCACAGCAGTACATTGCTTGTCTTCTATGTCAGCACTCCCACCACTTCCCCAAAGTGAGGGCGTGCTGACTGACATAGACAGTAGACCTAGGTAATACACTGACAATGGATAAGTACCTCATACAACCCCACCTCAAAAAAATCTGAACTCTCTCTTTAATGAGATGGTTTAAAGACAGCTGCTTTAAAGTGTTTTCCATTTCATTTGTTTTGACAGGAGAACCCTGAAAGTGTGGTCTTAAAAGAACATTTTGGGAATTACACTTATTTGCTTCCTTGCTGAGAGTAATATGAGTGGATTGATACCCCTCTCATATCTGAGTGTCATTACGCTTCTAATCTAACTCCCAGCACGAAAGTGAATGTCATTTTCACTATGTTAAAATGTCCTTCTGAGTGTCTACAATGTGTTAGAAAGTTTTCCCCGATTGTCCTTATTTTTTTTTCCTGCCATCGTTCTCATCAGCTGAAAAGCAATTACCAAAAGAACTGAAGCATTTTTATCTACTGCCTTCCAGCCTCCTTGGGGACGTTAGAGTTTGATCTACTGTACGAGAGAGCCACCAGTTCCTTACACTGCACCGTCCTGAGAGCAAAGGTAAATACTGTCCTCTAAAAACGCCACTGGAGCCAACACAGGTAGTTTGTCTAGTCGCAGTGGGGAGTAAATATTTCATTTACCTCTGTATTGGTCATATTTGTGTGTTCAACAGGTGACACAAAAAAGCATTTTTCTATCGCTATCCTGTAAATAAAAACATGCCCGAGGGTAGAGACAAAACGGTGTACTGAAGACCCAAATGTCTGAAAGGCAAAGGCAGATGTCATATTTTTCATTTAAAGATAACACACAATGACTGGGCAGCTCACTCAGGATTTTTAACTACATTCAGAGTGCCTCGAATGCATTTTTGGACTGCCTGTATGTGCTGGTCTTTTACACCAAGTGAGCTGCGAGTTGATGTTTTTTATCTCTATGTGACTATTTGCCCATTCTTTGAAGAGCACCTCATTTTTTTTAACAACCAACTACACAGAGCCTTAAACCTGTGCAGCACTCCCTATCTTTTCTCTCATATTTTTCATTATTGGCCCTTGAAAATGTAAAGTGCAAAATGGGTCGTTTTGTGAGCAACAGGCACTTCACCAAAGTTTACACAGATGAATATTTCAGTATGTCCTGCAACAAATACAATCTTTGATTGATGTGTCAGATTTAAAGGGTTCTTACATCATCAGATATGACACATATGACAAGCCAAGGTTGCAATTTGTTGCCATCTTTAGATGCCAAAATAGAGATGTGATCTCATTTCCAGAAGGCGTCTATACGTATGTAGGCATTTTGTGTGTAGAATTACATGTTGTCTTCATGATTAAATTGAACAAGATACGAAGCTCATTATGCCCAGTTGACTACCCATGCGTATATTGAGCAAAAAAAAAAAAAAAAAAAAAAAAAAAAACTGGGACCGCTCTAGTGCATTTGATTAATAGCGTCAGCTGTGATTGATTATGGTTGCTCTGCAGGAGCAGGGTTGGAGACGCCTGATTAAGATTATGTCATTGGATGTATAAGCGGCCTCGATCAGATGATATCCGTTGGGTGCCGATTGTACATGCTCTGTCTGCCATGCAAGCTACAGCTACCACAAGGAGGAGAAGACTAACAACCCGGATAGGAAAGCCACCAGAGAAACTGAAGTGGCTTTTAAGCACTTCCTTTCTGCAGTTAATTGTGAGTTTCCAGCTGGCAACGGACATCAATATGTCGTGAGACGTGGGACTCCCAATGTCAGAAAGACATAAAATTTTGTTTGGAATGAAAATCGGGTTGATGATATTTCAAATGTCTGACGTGGATGTTGTTGTGAGGATTTTTCTTCATACCTTATGCCTAAATGTCGTTATTCTACACGAAGATAACGCTGGCATGAGACGTTTTGCAGATGTTGGATTTTGGTTACCTAACAACACAACTTCAAACCAACAAAATATCAACATCATCTGTAGTTAGTATTCTACGTCAAATTGAAGTTGGCATTAGACATCCTGACATTGAATTTTGGTCAGCTTAAGGCACAATCTAAGGGTGCTTTCAGACCTAGAGTTGTCTTGCTTTGGTCTGAATCATGGACTCATTTTGTTACAAAGTTGCATAATTGCCTAGAGTTGATTTGTGTTCTAGCGGCAACATTTACAAGCGGACCAGATCAAATGCCTTGTGTGAGAAAGCTGCTCTTGATTGGTCAGAATTTCCATGCGGGAAAAATCCAGGAAGTACACAAAACGTTGACTTGTAAGATAAATGTGACACTTTCTAATGTCACAATGGAGGGACAACTACGCAGGTTGATTTTAGCGCTGGTCATCGTGGACTATATTGCTTGCATTGTTCATTTTAGTCAAACCATACAGTTTGAAAACGAGGCGTGGCTCCAACTAGAAAACAATGTTTTGATGCATTGGATGTGCTGAATGTGCATATTAAGGCAGTACAGGAGGAGGTGCACATTAATAATCCTCCAGGACTGTAACATGCTCATGTTTAACCCAAACATCGCACCAGAGTTCGTTTGTAACCAGACCGAGACCACCTCTTCAAGAAGGTTTGGGTGCGCACCAGAGTGTAATTGCTGTGTTCACACCTGCCCAAATGAACCGTACTTAGGGGGCAAACGAACTTGAGTTCAACTGAACCGAACCAAACAGGGCAGGTGTGAAAGCACTCTAAATACAACCAAACAAACATCTACAGACGCCGTTGGCCAGCTGTGTTGTTTAAATTTCTGTATTCGTTGCTCAATACAGATCGAATAATGGGTAGTTGTTGATATAGAGTAACCCTCAAATCTTGTTAAATTAAACATGAAGACAACAAGGAAGGAACTTGTGACTACACAAGATGCCAACTTATAGACACCTTTTCACACAAGTTTTCATGGTCCTAGCAATGAGTCCATATTGCTATTTTGGCATTGACTCTGGCTTGTCATACTTGCCATATATCAGATTCTACTTATGTTAGAGCACCTGAAGTTTGGTATAACATCAATCAAATACTGTATTTTTAGCCTTAAATATAGAAATGTCCATATGCATGTATTCTGAGGGCTGTCTGGGGCCTCAAAACCACACATTTTATACTGTTTTTCTATTTTCAAGGGCCAGTAATGTAAAATATGACATCTGCTTCTGCTTTTCAATCATTTACGTTGTGCACTGTTTTGTCCGTGCCCCTAAGAAATTTTATGGCGCTAGAAGTTCTATGTCTGAAGATACTGAACCTTAAAAATTACTTCTCCCAAAGGACTTTTTCAGGGGGAAAAAATGACATAATTCCCTGTGGCAGAACACAATGCGATCCTCAAAATTCAGCCAGAATATTTCACACAGCACACAGAAAGTTTCAACACAATCTTAAATGTGAACAAAAAACCTCTCTCTGATTTGACATGGACTAACCCTAAACTAAGACTATGAACATGGCACATGGAAACATTATACCTCCTACATCCAACTGCTCCAGCTTCAGAGTCCAGATTTCTCCTTAGTCATTAGCTCAAGGTCCACACAGTTAAATATCTTCAGTGTCATACTTGCGTTTGGCCATGTCGCCGAGCTAGTTTGCTGTCTCTTTCCAAGTAGCTGTCCGTTAGTCACTCACTCTACAGCAGTAAGGGCACTTGAAAATAAAAGCTCTGTGCCAGAAATTCATTCTATTTAAAAATGAAGTGTGTTTTATACAAACTTGAATTCAGAATGGACCTTTGACCCACTAGTTGGGAACCACTGTCTACATCAACATGTTAGCATCATCATTGTAAGCATGTTAGCATTTACCTCAAGCATTTACCTCAGAGAGCTTGTAGCGTGGCTGCAAACTCTTAATCTGGGTTCCTTTTTATTTCTAACTCTAACTTAAAAGTTTTGTAACTGGGTGTAATCACTGCAAATCATAATAAAAGCCTGTTTTTCTAGATATACAATGAAACACAGCTGAACAGCTTTTTGTTTCACTAATGTAAGAGAAACAAATTAAAAAAGTTACAGACTCCAACTTTTAGATTAGGTATTTAAATTGGTAGTATATCCTCTGCACTAAATGGTTATCTGAAAGTAAAACTCCTCCTCCTCCCTCTACTGCTGTGCTTTAGATTTAATTTGCAAATGAACTCCTCACCTCTCTGTCTGGTAATCGTTTAACATTTCATTACTGGTGTTGGCAGTTTGCACAATGTTCTCAATCAATTATTTTATATCTCTCTCATCACACTCTTCTGTATTAGGGTCTGAAGCCCATGGATTTCAACGGTTTGGCCGATCCTTATGTCAAGCTGCACCTGTTGCCAGGAGCCTGCAAGGTCTGATTTTATTATCAGGACATGGCTTTTTCCCCGCGTTCTTCTACAATTTAAAAGGACTTTGAGTAACCTGTTTGAGTTCACACTTTGTTCAGCTATAATATTGAGCTCCATCACCAAAGTGCATGTGCGGCTCGGTAAATCTGCCCTAAAACAAAATCACCTTGTCGCCAGTAAGAAGTTGTTTTTCCTTTGAGGTTTTTTTTGCTGTTTGCAGCTCTGAGATTGTTTCCCGCTCCTCTCTGCTGTGATGCACAGGCCAATAAACTGAAAACCAAGACCGTTCGCAACACGCTGAACCCTGTGTGGAACGAGACGCTCACCTACTGTGGGATCACCGAGGAAGACATGTACCGCAAAACACTCAGGTAAATGTTTGCTTTATGTCTGGCTATTTATGTCTCCTTCACTTCCTGCCTCTCTGCTCTGTCGAGTCCATCAGTACGCTGACTATTGCTTACAAAGGATTTCTTATCGTCTATCTCAATCACAGGCCTTTATCCTTTCTCTTCTCTCTCCTATCCTTTCTCTTCTCTCTCCTATCGCTGATCCTTTGATCCCCCTCTGTCACCTCACCTTCGTTCCTCCCCATCCTCACGTCTCTCCTGTCCACTGGGATCAGAAAAGATCTCCCCTCACTCTTTCTAAACCTTCCCTTTTTTTTGTCTTTCTTTCTGTCTGTCTCCCTGCCTTCCTCTCTTTCCAAGTCGCAGTGACAGATTGAGGTCAGACTAAGCACCACGGGGTGTTTTAATTTCATTGACCCCCTCCAGAGGTGACAAAAGCTGCGAATTGTCTCTGCCTGTGACTAAAACTTTGCCACTGCGCACGTGGGCGTGGGATTTAAATAGGATCGACGGTTGATCTCTCGGGGGAAATCAGAGAAACTGGCCCTGCAACCGGCCTTCGACACTGTTAATTCAGCAGAGGAAGTTTAACCCAATGAAACATTTAAACATGTTGACTTCACACACTGCAATGCACTGACATTTGAAAATGTCAACAATGTGACAATTTCATCACTTTTTTACATCCACGTAAATCTGGATTGTGTAATAGATGTAATAAAACTAGGGTAAATTATGAAGTATTATTCCAACCCTTTACAGCCCTGACACACAAAGCCGATGGTCGGGTGTTGGTCACTGTTTGTGCCCTAGTTTTTTCGGTGCATCCTGCACTGTTGGCACTACTTGGCCCTTGTCAGCTTTATTTTGGCTGATTCAGCATGTTGAATCTGCACAGCAAAGCCCATCTGTGAATGAAATCCCCCTGACTGGCAACACAGGTTAGCGCACGGGAAGAGAAAAGGAAGTGAGGCAAGTAAACAAACAGCTTAAGTCAAGAGGACGTGAGATCGAAACAAACTTGTTGTATAAGGTACGATATTTTTTTTTAGTCACTGAACTCTTTAACAGAGACTACTGGTAACTATGTTTTTGTCCACTAGCACACAGATTGTGCTGTACTGTGCTAACTGGCTAACTAGCGTCTTGAACCCATTCTGTTGGTCTTCTTGTTTCCCTTTTTTAATGACGAATGCACACAACCGCTGCCTGCTGGTGTGAAGAGTTATTTCTCTCTTGCAGGCACAGAATGTATGTGATGGTTGGCTGCTGGCTGTCGACTTTTTGGCCAAGACACAGGCGACATTAGGCAGCGCAAAAGTTGGCCTTCGTTGCCCCTAGCTCTTGGTGTCGATTTGTTGTGTCTGGGCCTTGACAGTTAACACCCTTCACACTTTTAATAAACAGCTGTTGCAGATATCCATACATTTTAGAGTCAGTAGTTGTCTTGTAGTATGCTTTTCTAAACACACAGAAATTAACTAAATTCGCACTAGAGCTGCCCCCGACTAAGACTTTTCCTAGTCGACCAGTAGTCATCATGTATGGCCATTAGTTGACTAGTCGCCCGCATGTTTAAGATTTTAATTTAATTATTAAATGATATATTTTGGGCGGGGCAACACAATGGTTTGAGTTGAAGGTGTGAGAAAGAATAGTATCAGTAACATTGTTAACACTGTGCTACATTACAGAGAAATACAAAACCGTACTAATGAACCTTCATTAATACAGGCCTATATTTTATCTACAAGTGCACGTCACACACTGAGTGACCCGCCTGTTAATGACGCTGTCGGCAAAGCAGTAATGATTGTGGCTAATGGGCATGTAGCTACTTACAAGTTTAAATTAAATTCCCACAGGGTCCAGTCATATAGGTTTTGATTTATTTTGACAAGGCGCAGCTCCTAATAGAGTTTCACATTACTTTTTTTTTTTTGCGTCTTAGCAACCAATGAAATTTTGCCAACTAATGACCTTTCTGATCGACTAACATTTGGTTGACCATTAGGGGGCAGCCCTAATTCGCACGTCAATAATTTACTAAAACTGATGTTTTTGTCATGAGTACTTTCTCACAAATTACGCAGCAAAAAGGAATATACCTTTATTATCAGAGCAAGGTTAATTTTTCAGAGCTTTCGCACCGTGAACAGAGGCATCCACCAATCACGTCATGCCTATACTTATGAGAACTATGAAAAAGCTTCATGGACACTCCGTAGTCTGAACCAAAATGGCAAACTTCACTGTCTTCTTGACAAAGGCAGCACAGCAGATCCACTTCTTCCATTCTTCGTCGTCGTCCTCCGCTTATCCGGGTCCGGGTCGCGGGGACAGCAGCCTCAGCAAAGAAGCCCAGACAGTCCTCTCCCCTGCCACTTCTGTCAGCTCTTCCGTGGTAACCCCGAGGCTTTCCCAGGCCAGCCGGGTGATGTATTCCCTCCAGCTTGTTCTGGGGCGGCCCCGAGGTCTCCTCCCGGTTGGACATGCCCGAAACACCTCCCAAGGGAGGCGTCCGGAAGGCATCCTTACCAGATGCCCGAACCACCTCAACTGGCTCCTCTCGATGTGGAGGAGCAGAGGCTCTACTCCATTCTTATCTTTCATAATAAAAGCCCTTAACATATATACTGCATGTCTGTTCACCCAAGGGAACTCAAATTTTGCTTAAGAGAAACTTAAGAGAAGCTCACAGCAGCTTCGGCTATACGGTAACCATACAGACTGACAGACACTGCTCTGGGTCAATAGGATCCTGGTAGTTGTTGCAAATTTTGCAAATCTATGCACATTTTATTGAACAGGTGCTGCAACTCTCGCAAATTTGCATCACTGATGACATGATTAGTTTTGATGCTAAATATTCACAGGTGCGTATTTTGCATTTTTGTGTCGTTTCTTCACACAACCCTGGTGCATAAAAAGTGATTTATAGTGCCTTAAAATTCAAAAGCCAGACTCCTTCTGGTGTATCTGCAAGCTTAAACAGCAGGGTTTCCTCTCAGACCTGCAATTTTTTTCAGAGTTTCAACACTTTCAATACAGGAAGAAATCCATCACCGTAAAGGGAGGTTTTCCAATTTCTCCACTGACAGCAGCTTCATTCGACCAGAACTCAATGTAACCACGAGATATGCCACTGTTTGAAAAAGGGCAAGGCTCTTTTTTTACACCACTTTTTCTAAACTATAAAAAAGCACAGCTCTGTTAATGTTTCTGCTTCAAACTTCAAACCAGCATCTGCACCAAACTGCAGTGTGTCCACTGACAAATGGCCTCATGATGACAGGAAGTCATGATTTACCATCCTTATCATGTCTTTTATTTAAAGCTATAGTGCGTAACTTCTGTCGCCTCCTAGCGGATAATGCGTTATTACAACTAATAAGCCGGCGGCACTTCCATGTACACAGAGTAACACTTGCCTTTGTGGTAGGATCCACTTCTGAACCGTGTCTCGGCCGCTTCTCCACCATGTTGCTTTCTCTTTCTACCTGCACTCTACCTCTTGCTATGATACTCTCCGCTCTTCCTCTCCCTCCCTTCTTGTTGTGAGGAAGCATTTCCTGTGTGCCAGCGCGGGAATGTCGCTGGTCGACACGCATACTAAAAATGATATATATTGAAAAATACGTGAGAAGTTAGAGGAGCCGATCGGCTTAATCAGCATTGTGTCATCTCCTCTAGCAGTGGCTTGGGTGAAACGGACATTTACGGACCTGTAGAAGTTACGCACTATAGCTTTAATTCACAGCTGTCTGTAGGCTATTGGTCTGTCAACTTTTTCACTATATGGAACTGATTTATGGAAGTTTGGTGGGCGCAGAGCCCGGTCCAAAACTGTAGTAAAGTGCAATGTACCATACTGCAGCTAGTAAAACTTAATGTGGTTTTTGGTCATTACATCATTAATAACATAGGTCCATTTAAGCTAATTGTAATTGTCACCACAACGTAATTATAAATGTAACTTAGTGATATACAAAAATAATTTCTGCAACACCAAGGGTCAGCATGCCCGTATCCCCGCCCCGACAGGCACCCGACCCCTGTGCCAGTCCCTGCAGGTGCTGGGCCCACAGGGTGGTGGCTCCATGTTAGTCATTTGGGGTGAGCCCGACCGAGTCCCATGACCCAAGGCCCAGCCACTAGACGTTCGTTGGCGAGCTCCCCGCAGGTCTGGCTCCGGAGGGGGGCCCCAGAATCCCCATACTGGGCAAGGTACTCTGGCCCTGAACATGCCGTTTCATCACCTCCTGGGCACGTCCCACTGGCAGGAGGCCCCGGGGCAGACACAGAACACACTGGAGGGATTACATATCTCATCTGGCCTGGGAACGCCTTGGGGTGCCCCAGGAGGAACTGGAAAGTGTTGCTGGGGAGAGGGACGTCTGGGGTGCTTTGCTAGGCCTGCTGCCCCTGCGACCTAATGTCTGAAAAGCAGTTGAAAATGGATGGATGGATGGATGGATAGACAAACATGATTTCTTGGAGTAGGGGGGACAAAACTATGAGATACTAAGTCAACTTTTTGATGCATGTCTCTTAATTTTGAGTTATTAGACTAAAGTTTTACTTTATTTTCATTGCTGTCATATCTAACTTTCCACTCATTTTTTTCCCGGCAGAAATTATCTTCTGTAAGAGCGACTATATCGTCAACTGAGACATTTCAAAAAGCCTTTAAATTACACTGTGTTAAACAGTACCAGTGAACATCTTCAGTAGTTACGTCTGACATGGACATTTAAAGTTGGTGACAGCTGGTGCTGATTAGATTAATCACCCTGCTTCAACGGCATTATAAAATCTTCTTGATGTAGTCGAAAATGCGAGCAGTCACAGCGACAGTATAATGTGTATGTTACCGCCTGCTGTGTAACTGTAGAAACCGTACATCCTTGTCACAGTATGACTCTACGCTTCACACTTGACTTTCTGACCTATCGTACACGCTCACCACTCTCCATCCTCAAGCCCTTTTCATCGCAGCCGTCCTTTACTCATACATCTAACAGGCCGTCTTTCACCTCTCAGCTCTGACTGATTTCATCTCTCTTTATTCTTTCTCTGCCTCTCCCCACAGCCTTTTTCTTTCTTCCATTTTCATTCTTCCCATTTTTTGCTGCCATTGGATTCTGAAGGGCTCATAAGCTACTCGGCTCGGGGGACGCTGACACATATCTGGCGTCCCCAGGCAACTGGCCCCTTGCACCTTCTTCATTTCTGCATTACCATGTTTTATTACCGGAACCTGAAGGCAGCAGGTGACTGAGATATTTTACTCCTGTGGCCGTGAATTAAGTTAGAAGACGAATAAAACTTCTCTGACAGATTGCATTCTGGGGTTTTCTTCTCGTCATCGTGTGTCTTTCATTCACATTTACATAAAGCACAGAAAGAGGCAATCATACCGGATGTCTAACCTGTAGTAGCATACTGATTTTCCACTTCTGCCTACAGTATAGTCATGCACATTTGTGCGCATTAATAAGTCCTCACACACACACTCACAGATTTAAATAAATGCTTTCGTCTTATCTCTCCTTCTCACCCACATCACTCCATCCCTCGCTGCGGCTTTTGATTTTACATACACAACCAGCCTCCATCTCCCTCACTCCTCTCTGTTGCTCCCACCCAGTTATGCATTTCGGGTGACATCATGGCGTAATGGTGTAAACGTTTGCCAGCCCCATGAATATGGATTGACTTAACCTTGCATGATGCACTTTCACACTATTTAAATTCCCACAGCAGGGAAAATGGTAATTACTTGTACAGTGTGCGAACGCAGATGCTGGATCTATACGTAGGTTTTTCTTCTATTCAGGTCAGGTCCATGTCAACAGTTTCCCTCTCTCATTATAATGTTTCCACAGCATTAGGAATAATTATGAGTCATATGCGACGTTGTTTAACTAACTTTCTCACCCTGCTCACACATTCATACGTCTATATTTTACTCTGCCTCATTAATCAGCTTCACTTACTCTTCACGTTCCTTCTCTCCCCACCTTCCTCCTTTTTGTACCCCCCCCCCCCCTCTGTCTCTCGCTCCCAGGGTGTCAGTGTGCGACGAAGACAAGCTGACACATAATGAGTTCATCGGGGAATCGCGGGTGGCCCTGCGTCGCGTGAAGCCTGACCAGACCAAACACTTTAACATCTGTCTGGAGCATCCACCTCCTGTGAGAAGAAGAGACGGGGGGGGCGGGGGGGCAGAAGGAATAAAAAGGCAGGATAGGAAAGACAGACTAAAAGAAAGGAAAGAGGGAAATGAGAGTTTAAGACAGATGAATTACTTGAGGGTACAGTAAAATTCAATATATTAGGGTCCCTTGTGTGACTCACAACCTCATCTTTTAACGTAGGAAGCGGGGGAAAGGTGGAAATGAGAAAAAGAGGGGAGGCAGGAAATTGTTTACAGGCTAACAAGGAGACGTTAAAATATCGATATTTAGTACAGCGATGACGACCGCACACCTGGGTCTCATACATACAAAACAACAAATGTGTCTGTACAATCTCTGTAGCATCGTTAGAGCCAAACAGATGTGTCCCAGAAGCTGCTGGACAAAACACTGACTGATATTGATATTTGAGAGTAAACAGAAAATAATAGGCAGGTTTTCCTGCGACATAAACACAGAATCATAAATATTTACAGCAAGGATCCTTGAAATGTGTTTATGAGCGTTGTCAGAGAGAAATATACCGAGGCAGGCGTTTTACAGCCAAACATTATACTTTATACTTACAAATGGCAATAACACAAAAGACAAAAGTAGAAAAAAAGTAAAAAAAAAAGTAAATTCAGAACAGCAAACTGTAGAGTTGGCTGTACCCGACTGAATTATGTCAGTCGAGTCAGATGTTGCTGTTCAATACCAATATTAGACTATTCATCCCTTTGAGTGTCATAACAAATTACTTCGTCCTCCAGAGCTCCTAACGGTGCTAACGCCACACTGACTGATAACTGCCTTTTAACTCTGTATATGGATGCACCCCTTTCAGGCTAATATTACTAGGTAATGTTAATATATGCTAACTTTAGCGACTATTTTTACCTGAAATGCCATTAATATGAAGTCTGGGTCATGGCTAAAAACACTGAGAAGTTGTAATATCACATTATATTTGACCTTTCGCTAAGCCCCGCCCCTTTGTGATGACATCTTTTTTTCACTGTTAAAATCATTAAAAAGCAAAAGCAGCATGTGTATACATTCAATAGGCTATATCTTCAGTAGCTAGCTAGCTAACCCTACACTTTTCAGGGTTTGATTTTGGTTTTGGAGCAGGGAAGAAACGTATATCTTTTTCTGACCTCTCCAGGTAACGAGTATCATTAATACACTACGTGCCCCAGACACAACATTTATCTCCAAATCTACAAAACCAGCCTGAAAATGGGGGAAATCTGAAACGATTACATTAGAGTCAATGGAGCACAGCTGCCTGCCCTCCATCTCGACAGCGCTACCAAATGATGTTATATGCAAAGAAGCTATATAGTAAATAAGCCAAGTTAGCCCTCCAAGCTATTGCGTGTTAACTACGCTAACAATGTTAGCGTTTGTTTTGTCTGAGTCTGACTGGGTAAACATTCTCTTCCTCTGGGCAGCTGCCTCCATCTCACTCAGACTCACCCTGGGTCTGAGTCCGCAGCTGTCTGTACCAAAGAGCTGCATGAAAGCGAGGAGTGCTCACTCTGCAGCTACATCTAGGGGCAATAACATCCTCAGAGGTACACTAACGTACTGAAGTAACTGACAAACAACTAAAAATGACCGCTCAAATTAGAGAATTTTAGCAAAATGAGGGGTCTAAGAATGAAGATTAGCAACATCAACTTTCAGAGGGCAGCCCCTAACAGTCCATTAAAACAAATACAACAAAAAATGTGAAAGAAATAATTCAAGGGTTTTGGAAATACACTTATGAGTCTATGTGATTACATTACATGGCCGAAAATATGTAGACACTCGAATAAAATATGCAGACACTCCATTATCACTCCAGCATAACATCCAGCTGTGGTTGTTGAACATTCATTTCACAACCACAAAACCATGAGCATTAATGTACTGTCTGCTCCTGTAGGAAGACTTTCTGCCAGATAGTAAAATCTGGCTGCTGGGATTTGCTCACATTCAGCCACAAAAGAAAGCAACAGCGAGGTCAGCCACTATTGTGGAGCTTAAGGCCTGGCTCGCAGTCACTATTCAGACTCATCTGAAAGGAGTTGGATGATATCGAGGTCAGGACTCTGTCCAGTCAAGGTCTTTCGCACTAAACTGGAAGAATAAATACCTCTGTCAAGAAGAAGGTTATGTTTTCGGTTCGTTTTGTTTGTCAGCAGGATAACAGAAAAACTACTGGCCCAGTTTTTATGAAAGTTAGTGGAAGGGTGTTGCATGGACCAAGAGGAACCTATGAAATTTGGAGCAGATGCGAATCACGGGGTGGATAGGGTAATTACTTTCACTTTCATTAATGTTGTGAGTTAGGACATTTGGCCTTGGTGGATAAATGCCACACATTTTTAAATCCAGTAGATCGTATTGTACTAAAGTTTAATAGTGACAGAACAGCCAATTGTATAAATAAAACTGCCTGATATCAGACAGAATTGTAAACTCGTTACACTCCGTTTCCATCTTCACTCTGACACTGCATCTACTCTTACCGATTTCTGTGAGGGAGGGGGAATCAATTTTCTCTAGACAATCACTAGACACCAATGTATCTGCCTGAATCTAACGTCATTTTAAGTTAACCCTGATGTGTAGCCATGCCAACATACTTCTTTTGCCAGAATTTTGAGAGCGGAGCTTAGAGAAGTAAAAGAAACTACGATTTTAGGAGATATTGAGAAGTATGTCAATGTATCAATTTAGAGAAGCCTCAATGGTATTGTCTATCTTGTCTATAGCAGTTGCCATTGTTTTTATTGCTACTCATTGGTTCCTGTGGCTAATGTAAAGTCCTCCTGTGGCACTCATTGGTTGTATTTTTATCTTAACTGAGAAACCACCGTTTCATGTCACGATGCCAGATAAATCAGTCAACTCGAACTATATGAAGTGGGAGGATTCAAAGGTCAAAACCCAGGGAAGAAATACAAGAATCCATATCACAGTGCACATTAACAGGTACCAGTAATCACGTGGGGCTGCCTACACATGTAGCCAATTAAACTTCATACAGAGAGCAGTCCTTACGGAGCACTAGTTTGACATAATCCTAATCATTCTAGAAATATATCCAGACTGGTCGAGGTTACAGATTTGCATATCATAGAAAATTGGTTTATTAGCCTTGGTGGAGGTCTGCGCTTTCCAAGTGCCCTTCTGACTTTGTTCACAGGGACGTTACCATGTTGAAAAAGGAAAGGGCCTTCCCTGAACGGTCGAAAGCACACTGCTGACTAACTGTCATTGTGATTTGTAGCATAACGATTTCCCTTCACTGAAGGAATTAAAAGACCAAACCAAGAAAAATAGAACAAAATCTACTCAAAGGACAATGCTGTCCACATACTTTTGACCATATAGTATATTTTGCTTCAAAGACAAAATATGTAAGTTTTACGCATTAAAAAATCTAAAAACGACCACAGCATTGTTATGTATTTTGCGAGGTGGTGTACTCAACATTATCTCATTTCCAACAATGTTAAACCCAGAGAAATCTGTCTTTTAGATCACAGACACAGATTGTGCCATTTGGTCACTGTTGCTTGTCAGTGGCATCATATCTCCTTTGTGCATGTAGCACGGTTGTGGTTGTCTGCCTGAGGCTGTCATAAATTTACTTTTTATCCAGTTCTAGGCCACATTTTTATGTTACACTTTTTACATCCCAGTTTTTAGCTATATTTTTTAACCACAGGATTTGAGTCATCAGACATCTGGATCTTAAGTTCTCAGAGAAACAAACTGAGCAAACATTAACAGCAGCTCATAGGAGAGAAACAGCATTGGAGAAACACAGATTTTCACTGTGAAACTACTTTGTTCAGTGTTTTTACCAGTTTAAACCACTGTGTCCATTCGTTTTTTGAGACTAGGAGGACTTTGCAGATAATTCTGCTCCCGGTAAAAAACTCCAGAACGTCTGGATCTTAAGTTATCAGAGAAAAAAGCCGGGCAAACATTAGCAGGTGCTACGCTAGCAGCCTGTCTGCCATATGCCGAACAGTGTCAGAGAAACACTGCTTTATTCTGTGTTTTTACCAGTTTTAATCTCCTGGGGTCTCATTTATAGACATGGCGTACGCACAAAACAAGGCCTGAAAGAGGCGTACGCCACTTCTCACGCAGAAGTTGTGATGTATAAAGACAGACTTGATGGGAGAAACTTTGTCCCATGCTTATGAACGTTATGGAGACAGGAAATTGGGGACGCAGATGTAAGGCGGAAGCCTGATTGTAGAAATTGTCGAATATTTTTTGGCACATGCGAACATACGTACATTTTTAGTGAGGATCCTATGCATTGTTTTATAAATGAGACCCGTGGTCAGTTTGTTTTGGGGAAGAAGAGACCTTTGCAGATAATTTGGCCTGTAGAAAATCCCTCCTGAACACTGAAGGAATCCTAATTGGGAGAAACTGACTGCAATGACAGCATTGCTTGGTGTTTTAATCGAGACTCCTAGCAGTATTACATATTGTGCGTTTAAGCCAACATCAGCTGGGCTTACTGAGAATAACAAGTATTGGGTAAACAGAGCACAGAGTATGACATCTATTCTTATAGCTCACAAACAGCTTTTTGTGCAGGCTAAATGTCAGACGGGTCACGCGTGGGAAAAGGGTACATAGAGATTGGGAGAATAAAGGCAGAGGAGAAAGAGCGAGAGGATGGAGGTGGGGGGGGGGGTGCAGCGTCAATAGAGAGAGCAAGTGAGAGAGATGAGAAACAAATGGATTAAAAAATAAAAGTGGTGGCGAGCAGGGGGCATGTGCGTGAGAAGAGACGGGAGGGCGCTGCGTTTTTGTTCTTCATGAGTTGGAAAGGGCTGTTGGTATTAGATTGGCCCTCTGGGGCCGGTGGCCACTCTGCGATCAAACGCTAAAGCCCTTCTGTCATCCTGCAAACCAGGCCTGTAATTTTTCAAAGTGGCTTCGCCCTCAGCTCGATGCGCCTATTGCTTTATGTTCATCCTATGCTTCTATAACCTGCTCGTACGGCGTTTCTGTCAGTCATGTTCCTTTATTATTTATCTCTGTCTCTTCTTTTTGCCTCCAGCTGCCTTCTCCGACTGCGATGAGCACAGCCCTGAGAGGAATCTCCTGCTACCTGAGAGAGGTGAACACGACTCCTCTTGTTTCAGTCAGCATGACCCTCCATCTGTCTGTCTGTCCTTACAATCCATCTTTCATCCTGTCTTACAGGAATACACTGAGTTTTGTTCACCTGCTGTTCACCCAGTATGAGACCACAAGGGTCATATGACTGCAAACAGTATCTTTAAAGTATGAGAATAAACCCGTCAGCATATCACAGTTGCTTTTAGTTTTTATTTTATGGCCTCAGAGCACAAAGTTTTACAGGCATGTCCAAACTTTTTCGAACCGGGGCCAGAATAGATAATGTGAAAACACCCAGGGGCCAGCTGCTTCATCACTTATTGAAAAAAAAAAATCACGTACAAATGACACAAGAGCAACTGTTTTATCTATAAGTGAAGAAGTATTCAACTTTCCACGGCTCCTGAAAGCGGCGTCCGTCCCCCTTGATTTTACTCGCCTTTGCTGTGGACATTTCCACTACCTCACAGGAAATATTTAGCGTTAGGTGACTGCTCCTTTGTTTGTTTGCCATTTGTCTACGAAAACACATTAGTTCCACTGGCGTAGTTCCTACTTGGTGCATGTCTACAAACTGTGCGATTGTCCTGCTGTCGTGAGGTGAATGAAAAAATGCAAAGTGATCTTGCTTGATTAACCAATATCGTGTTAATCATATAGTATATTTTGGAAGACAAGTCAAGGGCCATTTAAAGTCTGTCTGCAGGCCAAACTTTTGGACAACTTTTGCCAGGACTAGTTTATATCTAACAAGTGCTAAAAGAAGTAGTCCAGTGGGATTGTCCCACCCGGCTCGTTTACAGTCAAGATAACAGCTAAGATAACAAAAACATGGACTAATTCATCTCGTAACGCAGCAAACTTTAGTGGATCACAACATATTGGATATGAAATTAATCCTTAGATGCTCCAGTTAAAAAAAAGACTGAACTTTTCTATGGATGTCAGTTTTTGAGCCACGATGAAGACAAAAATGTGGCCTGGAAAGACTAAAAAGTTTGCTGTTTGTAGTCGAAGCAATTTCTGGAAAACTTGTGGTCCCTACAAGCTGGTTAAGAAGAGTGAGGAGTCAGCAGTCAATGATGAAAAAACAGTCAATATAATAGTTTTTTTTTTTTAAAGATTATAAATCACTGCAACCACAAGAGGTCACTGAGCATAAATGTGCACACAAAATATTAGGCTGATGGGTCCGGTAGTTTGGGAGATTAGCTGCAGACAGATGGTTACACACACTCACATACACACACACAAGACCAAACGCATCATACCCTCCAGGCTTATACCTGACAGAGATAATAATAAGTAAAGATTATAAATAACAGTTTTAATAACTGATAATCAGTAAAATGGGACCGAAATACCAAACATTCACTGGTTCTAGCTTGAAGTTTTGCTGCTTAGCTCTGTTACAAACTAAACAGCAAATCACATAATCCAAACAAATACTTCGCAGGTTAACTGAAGATGAAAGTAATCACATTCACTCACCAAGACTGGCAGGTAAACATAACTGACATTAAAGTTAAGTATACACCACAAATTGTTCTACTTGACATCACAGCTACCATTTGTATGTTTCTGCTCTTCCAGACACCTATTTGTTCACATTAATCTCTGTTAAGGCATGAAAATCAATTAGCAGCCTCACTTGAGTCATGTAATCCATTAAGCCAGCATTGTTCATTGTTGTGAACTAATTAGGTGCCGTACATTTCAAATCAATATGTCGTTAGACTGAATAATTGAGTTGGATTTTTGTTTCACATGGAAAAGGATGAAAACAGTTGCTTGTTATGAAAATGGGAACACATGCAAATATCTAAAACTACAGTTTACGTTAAAGTGAGAGTACTGTGACTTCTGCTGACAAGAAGTAATAATGAAACAGTAACACAAGTAGAGATGAGTCATAAAGTTGTGAACTGACTCAGTATGTCAGCAGCATTGTCTCGTAGACAGCAGTATCCATCTAAAGTAGGGCTGGGCAAGATATTGATATTATATCAATTTTGTGATATGTGCCTAGGTATCGTCTTAGATTTTGGATATCGTAATATCTGGTTTTCAAGGCTGAATTACAGTGAAGCAGTAATTTTCTGTCCTATTATTTGCCTTTATCCACTTAGTCATTATATCTACATTACTGATGATTGTTTATCAGATATCTCATTGTGTAAATACTTCATTAAAGCACCAATAGTCAACCCTACAATGTCGTCGTAATATTGATATCAAGGTATTTGGTCAAAAACATTGTGATACTTGATTTTCTCGCCCAGCACTAACCTACAATGTGCTGGCAGTAGGCAATTTGAGAGGGGACACCATCCCCCTTGTTACAAAAATAACCAAAATGCATCCCCCTTGTTACCCTACCATCCTTCTGCATCCCCTGGGTCCAGACCCAGACACCGTCCTATGCGGCCACGGTCCTATAACCGATAAATCAGTGACAATTATTGAATTTTGATGGGCTGTTTGTGCTCTAACCAGCACAGCACTGTATCACTGGTGTAGCAACAAGGACACTCACAGACCAATACCTACATTAAATCACCTCAAGTTATGCTATTCAGTCAATCACATCTGTGCATTACGATAAGCATTGTGACTCAGGTGGATGGGGTACACACACAGGAGAGACGAGGCATGAGACATAAATGTCTTAGACATAAATGAGTCACAGGGAAGTATTTTCACATGGCGTGTTCTACAAAGAGACAAGCAGACGGCAAACACAGCTCTTAATCAGGAATGAACAGACTTGTATGTTCATGCTCATTCTTCCAGTGAGCAGTTCAAAACCAGGATGTCTCATCATATGTTCCTAGACCGTGGCGATTATTTAAAGCAGCATTGTGAGGCGTCGTTACAAGACAGAGCACAAAGCGTCTTTTCAGCAAACATACCCACTCAAATCCAAACCGAGGGTACAGAAAATAGAATATATTATACGGAAATGAATCACTGAATCATAGTGCAAGTCGGACATTAGATGGAGGGTGGGAGTCTGTCCCTTTTGTTAAAAATAACAAATCACCTGCTGAGTGAAAGAATGCATTTTGGCTGGAGGGTGACGAGGGCAATTGACCGGCTGTCAAATATATTGAATTTCCTTAACATTAGCCACTGTAGGCTACTGGTCATACCAGGGGGAATACGACTGTGGCAGCAAAACCCAGAGTACCCTGAACTGAGTGAAGGCTGGCTTTTATTGCCTGTTAATTCAACCTTTAATTTGTAAAAAGGAGGAATGCTGTATTTTTCTTTCACGTTACAAAAATGATTCCTATTAAAGGAAGGGAAACTTGCAGACACACTCGTCTGGCCCTTTAACAAGCCAATCTAGGAGCTGTTAGAAGTTCTTAATGTCTCAGTTGCTTTCAAACACAGATGATTTCAGAGCCTCTCATCACATGTTGGGTAAATTAAAGAAGGGGTCAAACCAAAGGGCCGGGACAGTCCTTTACTTCATTAGGATTACTGGAGAAAAAACAGCTGCCTCTGTTTCTCACCACATTCAAGGTTGTTGAATGTGATCATCCTGCCAGTTCTCTCGCCTTGCAAACCCACCCACAAATTCATCTCTTTCCCATTCGTCTGTCACCGTGCGTGTTTGTAGCTGTGTGTGGCTGGCTCCACACTGATGCCTGTTTATTTTCACCTCCCTAATGAGTTGCTCTCTATCGATCTGTGAAGGTCTGAGCTGTTCTATTACCAGATACCTGGTGCAAATTATCCCCACTAATTGCGAGTCTCCTGCTCAGTCACGGCAGATGGCGAACTGGCTGTTGGCAGTAATGATGAATCCTGGGGAAAAATAGAGACATGGCGACCAGAGGAAAAAAAAAAATAGGAAAGAGAGATCTAGGTTAAAAAGGAAGGGGGCAAGCTGTTGAGACAATTAGAGAAAGGGAGGGAGGAGCATGGGGAAGTGTGGGGCGTGTGGCATATTGATCGTCCTGGCTGTGTCCACCTCTCGCCTGAAGATAAGACTTAATGAGAGATGGAGAGAGATAAAAGAGAGGAGAGGCATTTAGAGATGGAACCCATTTTACATGAAAATTACATTACAGGCAATAAAACAGAGCCTTTTTTCCACTTTCTGTGGTGAAACATAAGAGATGACTTGAAAAAGATGCACCTGGAGTGATGACAAATAGCTCATCTTTCCTATAAATAACATACATGTATTGGTGCTGTTGGCCGTGAGGGTGAGTCACGGTGCTGTGAAAACATCGTCTTCACCCTCTGTTATTGCTTCCTCACTTTCTTTCATCTGTCACTTTACATCTACTCTGTTGTTACGCTTGTTGTCAAACAGTTTGATGTTGTCCGTGGAAAATACTCCAGCCAGGAGCGACAAAGTGGACTAGTATGTCTTTAAGGCCGGTGCTTCAGTCCGTCCGAGACAGGTCTTTGCCATCGGAGCGACTGCACTCCTGTTTATTACTTGTTCTCAGTGATAGTGATGGTTGAGTTTGTCTCTCAGCTGGGAGAGATAAACTCAAATGTTAGATCAAAGTCACTGAGCTCTTTAGGTGTGTTTGCTTCTGAGAAAAAGAAGAGCAATGAACTACATCAAAGCAATGGACACAGTACATTTTAAAGCTGTGCAACTTTTGACAAAAGAAACAACGCATTTCTCGTCTCACAAATAAAAAGTTGAAGTCATACATGATAAAACTCGCCCTGCGCTCTTAGAAACAAGGATTGCAAAAGGGTTCTTCCTGAAAGGCTGAGTTTCTACCCAGAACCATTTGCTTCTGAGGCCAGGCCTATAGACCCTTTCAGGGCCAACGTCACAATGACATCATTTTATTAGCAGGAGGCAAAACACCACCCGCCATTACAGGGCTGTAGGCTACATGAGTCTTAAAATGTCGTCTTGTTGTGTTATTGGGAGCCAGAATAGAAGGAGTCATGGATCAAAACTTTATTGCATACCAGCTGCCACTGCCCGTCAACAAAAGCAAGTCAACTAGGTTTAAATGA